TAACAAAAATTAAAAACAAAAAAAAATTGAAAATTTAATGGGGTACTACATGAACATCTAATTGAGTTTAAAATATTATTTTTTTAAATTAAGATATTAAATAATAATTTAATTAATTAAAAATAAATAATAAATAATGTACCTCATGTACAAGTTCCTTTTTTTTTTTTTCAAAAAAGGTATCTTATTTTTAAAAAATGAAGAAAAAACCAACAAAATAAAGATGAAATGCAAAAATAAAAAATAAAAAATGGAACAAAGTTGAGTTACCATAAAACATTAGAAATTATTAATATTTTTTGAAATATTTATTTTATGAATTTTTAAAAATAAAAAATAAAAAAGTAAAGATAAAAAAATCAAATTTCAATGTGACATCGGTACCGTTACTATTAATTTTTTTAAATCATCAAATTAGAAAAAGAAAAATATATTTTTAAATAATAATATCAAATGGCCCCATAATAAAGAAATATTAAAAATATATTTTTAAAAATTAAATATTTAGAAATGAAAAAAGTAAAAAGCAAAAAGAAAAAGAAAAAAAAAGGAAAGAAAGAAGTTAAATAGCTTAGCATGTGATATACTCTTGATATTAAAAAATTTTTTTAATTTATTTATGAAATATATAAAAAATAATAATAATAAAAATACTCATGATACATTGTTGGTATCAAACGGATCCTATAAAAAAAAAATCTAAAAAAGTCTTTGTCACATATTTTTTTTAAAAAAAAAGTAGAAACAAAAATTTGATATAAGTTGGTTCATCACAAAAAATAAAATCTTTTAAAATATATATTTTTTCTAATTTAAATATATATTTATTAAATATTAAAAATTAAAAAATTTGAAATTGACACGTTGTACTCTCCATGGTCGCCGTATATGAGCAAGGGGAGTGACTTTGGGTCAAGTCCTGTAGCCTTCTCTTAAATAGGCTGATTTTGGAGATTTTTGTTATTAAGCTTTTCCCCAAGTTTTCCATCGTAGTTAAAGTCTTAAATTGTCTTTGATTGTGATTGAAAGAAATTGAATTTAGAAAAAATGTATTCAAAAAATATTTGAAAATCATTATGAAAAATTGTGGTTCGAGAGTTTCAATGTTGTTATTACTATAAAAAAAAATGCTATAAAAATTAAAATGTTTAAAAATATAGAATAAATTATTTTTATATTATATTAAAATGTATCAAAAATAAATGTCAAAGTTAATTTTAAAAGTGCATAAAAAATAATGTTTATATTTTTAGAAAAAGTTAAATTACTTCAAATTAAAATAAATATTTGTATTTTTTAATTTTTTTCATTTTGAATTTAAAATATATGAATATATCAATATACCAAAAGAAAAAAATGCTATATATTTAAATAATTCAAAAAATATATATTAAATTTAAGATAATTATTTTCATAATTGTAAAATAAAAACATATTTGATAATTTCTCTTTTAAATTATAATTTAAATCTGTTAATAAAATGTTAAATATTTAATTCTAATTAACCAAAAATCAAATCTTCATAACCTCAACAACCTAAAAAAAAAATTATAATTTTTTAAATCACACAAGCACCTCCTCAAGTGTGCTTTGTGGAAACTAAGGTGGAACATAATTTTTAGGCCGAATCATTCCACGTTGAGCATTGTAGTGGCAGCCAAAAACTGGATTTTGGGAGCCAACCACACAGCCAAACCAACCCTAAATATGGGACAGAAAAACTGAATTTCTTTGAAAAACTGTTGTTTGGCAACTGGTAGTTGATAATGGACAAATATTTTGCTTAAATGAATGAGTTAATTTTTAAACAAATCAAATCAAGATCGACAAGAGATTGCATTAAATATATAAATTATATCATATGCGGTAGACATATATTATTTTAAGATATATGAAAATATAAATATTTATAATAAAATTAATAGGAAAAGGTATAATTATTCATATATATATATATATATATAATTTTATATGAGTTGATTTTGTATTTAAGCTATACACTTATCTATTTCTTTTCATATATTCATAAATCTGTTAAAAGGATTTAGATTGAACAACAACGTTTTAACAAATATTGACAAATATATAAAGTAGAAAAGATAAACTATACTTCTAGAGACTAAAATAATTTTAAAATCTAATACAAATTTAATATTTCATAACCAAATGTTTCAAAAAAAAAAAAAAAAACGTAGCATCACATATATTGTTAGGCTCGGGAGATGGAGATCGTATATGGGCCCAGTTTGCAGGGCGAATAGCAGCATGAATATTCAGACTGAAAACCCAATTGGAATTGGGCTCTAAAGGAATAAAAGAAAGAAATATTGAGAGTGGGATTTAAACCCACACCCTTCTAGGACCAGAACCTTAATCTGGCCCCCTTAGTGACCAACTCGGCCATCTCAACAAAGAGTTCAAAGGGTCTAAATTTATTTTTCTGATATTTGAAGGATGACATACGTATACAAATATAGAATTGTTATTTATAGAGGCCAGTTGCTGTCTATCTGGATCTGCTCAGAGTTTGGCCACCCGGATTTTTGATTTACCAGTTATCTTAAAAGCAACAAACAACAAAGTAGAAAATTATTACTAACTCTAACTTGTAAAGAAAATAGTGAAGCATGCTTGAGAATTAAGATGTTAATTACCCTATTGACCACTAAAAAGAAATTTCAGTATTTTTCTTATTTGAAATTGTCTTAATTTGAACTTACTCAAAGAAATTATAGACTTATTTTTATGTTTATTTATTATTTACTTCTGCAAACTAATAAATTACAACTATATCATTTAAACTTTTTTTTTCTTTTTTGGTTTTTAACACTGCAATTTATTTTACTTTGGAATTTAAGAGAAAAAAACTGTGAGAGCTCAATTTCATTAAAAAAAAAAAAAAAAGGAACTGGATTTATCTATCTATATTGATTCTAAACTACAAAAAATTACTAAAGTACCATAGGAGAGGATAAAATTAAAGGCTTTGAAATAATTGGAAGCGAATTTTTAGTTTTTATTATGTGAAATTTATTTGAGATTTTGAATCTTCTTTTTGAATTTAATATGTGGTTTAACATTTATTTATTTAATGAGAGAATAAACAAATAAATACATAAATAATGAAGTATAATGAATATTATTTTATCAAATTTTAATGTGTAAAATATTTATTATTATTATTATTTACATCTATAACTATAGTTAACTAAGGTTTTTTTACTCATTATCTTTTAAAAAAAATACTTAAATTATATGTAATAGCATTCTAGTATCTAAAATTTTTTTTTTAACAAGCGATCTATTCATACTAATTCATTGGAATAAAAACTAAAAGCTAATTACAATAACAATCACAGTAAAGAAAAAATTAAGGTCCAATTTTCTACTATACTTATGTGTGCTTCAAATTACCAACAATATTATAATTGGTGCCATTTTATCATTATATTTGTAATTTTAAAATAAATTTATGACCATATTTTAAATTTTGGAACAATTAAAAAAACATTCAGTAAAAATTCTGTTAGAACTGTTTAAAAAATGATTTTGAAATTGATATGGTAGCAAAAAAACAACAATGAAGCTGAAATCCGAATCCTTCTTTTTCTTTTATTTATTTTTTTATCATGTTATTTTTTGTTAAATATAATCCACATAATCAAATTTTCATTTTTATTTTATTTTTTATTTCATCATTTTTTTTCAGTTAGCTTTGGCTTTTTTTCTCATTTTTTATTAATTTTTTTAAATTATAAGAAAGTTTCCAACATAATTTTCTATTGAATATTTTTAATTGCTTCAAAATTTGATGTGAGATGATAAATTTGCTCTAAAATAAAAACCATAGTGATAAATTGCATCAATAGATTAAAAGCACAACTCACATAAAGGTATATTGGTAAATTTATATCTTGTCTTAAAAAATATTAGGAAAGACAAGCTTATAATAATGGCAAAGAGAAGTTTTAGAACTTTGAGCTCTTAAATTTAAATCTTATATACGTGAATTTTATTATTTAGTTAAATTATAATTTATTAATTGATTATTTAGTGATGTAATTTAATTATAATATAATAATTAATGATTCAATTAATTACATAGATGTAATATTTTATTATAAATATAACTTCAAAAAAAAAAACCTATAACTCTAAAAAAAAAGAAAAGAAAAAGATATATCGAAAAATAAAATCTTGATTCTCATACGGTGACAAACATATAATAAATTAAATGTGGAAGATAAAAATCATAGATAATTCAATAAATTCATAAACTATAAAAAATTGACTTGGTATAATAATGTTTTGTGATTTTTCATTTTTCTTATAATTTTAATTAAATTAAATGGATAGTATATGAAAAAAAGTCAAAATTCATACAGTAGCGTTTTGTGGTTTTTCGTCTTACTATCATTTTAATAAAGTGGTAAAAATTTGGAGGTTTTTTATAAATGTGCTAACTTTTCATATTTTACCTTTTTATTAATATTAATTTATTGAAAACAATTAATACTTGCAATCATTGATATTAATATAATTATTTGTTTATTTAAATTAATTTTGAGTTCTTTTTTATTGGACCAAATGCAATAGTTTTAGGTATAATTTTAATTTTTTATTATTGTTGCTTAATTTAATTTGTTATCATTGGTTGATTTAAATCTATGAAATTACTTTAAAAATAATGAATAAAATGACAGAAATTTTAATTAAACAAGTTGAGTAATAAAATGTAATTATTTAAGATAAATCTCTTAAAATAGAAATTTAAAAAGAGTTAGAAGTAGTAATTTTTAAAGTATTCTAATTTAAAAATGATTATAAAACATTACCAAAATTATTTTCAAAAAGAAATTATTTTAATAAATAATAAATCTCATTGAATATTTATGATTTCATTTGAAATATATATACACACTATCAATTAATTAATTAGTATTATTTTTATATTAAAATAATCATAAATATATAATAACAAAATATATGTCATAGCCTCCTAGGTACAAAAAATATTTGGTGTTGGATGTGTCCACTCTTGCCTTCCAAACAAGTCCAGGAAAACAAAGCACGACCACTGCTAAAAAAACGAAAAGGTAAACTTGACATATTCATCGGGTTGTCAGTTTAGCTCTTTTGCTTCTGGTCGTCACACCAACATTTGACGTTGCATTACTTGATTTTTTCCGCTTCTTAGTCTGCTTTAATTTTCTCTCTGCTGCACTAGTTTGCTGCCCTCTATTTTCAGGTTTAACAGAACCACCTTTGGTACCTTGCTCAACATCAGGCGGCTCAAGCAATGGCCTTGCTTGACAAGATGAGTTGCCGTTACGAGCACTCGCACTCTTAAACTTGTCTGTTCGCTGGGGTTTAACTTCCATACCAGATTTCAAATTATTATGATTATTTGCACTAGACATTTCAATATCATCAGCAGCTGCATCTGTTTCTTCATGCCTGCTATCAACTTCTTTACTGGATTCATCAGACTGTTCCTCCCCTACATTTCTGTGTTGTAGTGACTCTATCACTGTCATTAGTTCCCTGTTAACCTGCCATGAGAACAGATGTCATCAGGAGAAATTTATGGCCGCAATTTAGCATTTGAATAGAAGAACGAAGCTAGCATTATTCAATATGTTTATATTTCAGTACTCAATTCTATTAGATCCATTAACCAAACTTCTTAAATATTTATAAATATTATATATTATTAAAATAAAAAGTGTCTTGAGAAAGGAGCTCCCCTTAGAACACTTCGGCAGAGATGAAATTCACATGTTACGTGTGCTATGCTCTCTAATATATCAAGACTACACCTGACACAGCCTCTAATACCTGAGGATTCTGAAGAAATTCAGCTAGATCATTTGAACAGGAAGGGCATTTCATTATGTTCTTCTGTGCTCGAAGTGTTCTCCTGCCTTCACATGTCCTCTGTCTGGTGAAACTTTGACCAGCAAAAGCACCCTCTAAACATGCTTTGCAAAAATTGTGAGCACAAGGCGTTGTAAGTGGTGAAGTCATCACATCCCTACAGATTTGGCAGCTAAACTCTACATGGCCGAGCACCCATCAGCATGAGTAGCTTCATTAGTAATATTTATTCGATATCATAAAAGTAAAAGAATCATATGATGTTGAGATGAACATAACAGAAAATGCTTGTAACTATGGAAATGATTAGAACTAAACCTTTGAGAAGTTTTTCTCTAGCAGACAAAGTTCTTTTAGCTCTCCTCCTTTTCTTCCCTGATACAATATTTCCATCATTCATTTGTTTTCTACTACAAGGAGGAGGGTTCTTCCACATCCAGCAACCTTCGACCTCCTGAGAAGCAGAAGTGAACATCTGAGGACATTTAAATATATAGCTAGGAACCTGACAGAATTCTCAATAATAAAAGGCAGAATTATGATTAAATTGTAAACCGATTATGAGTCAAACTTTTAAGCTAAGGTACAAATTCCTCAAAGGTACAATCTACTTTGTTGGATCCAAACAGTGACACCAGGATTTTTTTTGCAAAAGAAAGACCCCTTGAACACGTGAAATAACACAGCATTAGCTTACATCATAGTCCCAGGATGGAGATCCCTTCCTTTCAGTTATATCAATTGCATTCTTCAACTCCTTGATGGCAGGAAGAGGCCTTGGTTGGTCTCCATGAATATCGCTGCAGATTCATTGGAGGCATCATTATGCACATACAGCAACTCTTAGAGGAAAAGAGACATGGAGATGGGCAACAGACCTTGTCCACGGGGCAGGATCATTGTCACATCTAACAAAAAGATATCTACATACCTTATAACCCTAACAGAACCAATATATTGAGCAAACATAGTTAGCAATAGCAAGACTCTAGTTAGTGGGACATAATCAAATTAATCATAGTACCTGTATTCCATTTTTACGCCAGCATTTCTCAATTCTATAAACTCCATCATAACGAACCCCTGCTTCTGGGGCATAAGAAGAACGCTTTTCCTTGTGGGATCTGCCCAAGAAAAGCAAAAATAATTGTAAATAAAAGAAAATGTTCAATGTCCACCAACTTCTTGATTCTAAATTCTGGATTATATGAGCAGCAGTGCAGACCAAACAAGGACACAACTTGCAAGATATCAATTTGCAAAATTCATCCACAAAAAGGTCAAGGAATCCAGGGGGACAATAGACAAGTTGAGGAAAAACAAAAATAAACCTCACATGCCATGATGCATCCAGGAGACATTGCTAAATTTAATTATCTTGAAAAATCTATGCCTTTACAGAAAATCATTGCTTTCACTAGGTTGATTTATCAACATATATTTCTAGAATTTTCAACACATTGACTACATTCATTCATATAAAATAGTTTAACCGGATTTATCCATTTTAATATCTTAGAATTCATTGAAAACATATCTTACATCTCAGTTCATAACTGATTATTTTCTCTAACTTTGATTCACACTCCTAAAAGGCTAAAACATAATGCCAGTCACAACAAGGATCTAGGTAAAGAACCACTAGATTTGTACTTCTCATCTAACCATGAGGAGAAAAGAATAAAATGAGAATATGCTCTGCATGTGAGGGAATTAATACAGGAACAAAAACTATTAATATTTAGGTGTGAGGATATGCTAGAAATTAGAATGCTTCTGGGTAAGGATAAAGTTTATCAGCAGAACCTACCTTACCACTCGGACAGGGTAGCCCTTACGACAACTTAGTCGCAGTGCTTCATTCAACTTCTCAAACTTCTGATCAAAGGACTGTGCCTTATTTGTGCGCTTATTGCCACTAAGGTCCCTTCCTCCACTGTATACCACAGTAATAATATAATAAAGAATATCCAAATACAATGATAAATGCAAGATGGAAGCAAATTAGATAGATGGCAAACAGCAATAAATACCTCCCTGTGTAAAGGAACCATTCACCATGGTCCTCGTCATCAATATATCCTCCAGAAAGGGCCACTGACTGTGCACCATACTTTGACTGACCAGCAATCCCTGCTACATGAGGAAGGTGAGCACCCCATTGCCTGCATTCCATCCTATCCTGCCAGGTCTCACCTACCAACACACCCTGCTTTCTCTGAGGATCATTTTCTGCTAGAATTGGCCCGAAGTGATCAGGAGGTACAGTGACAAAGATCTTTCCACTACAAGCATTGGCCTTTCCAGGTTTTTTAGCTCGCTCAGTGGTGTAAGCCTTATCTGGCCGGTTTTGATTGTGGACAAAATGGTATACTTTTGGTGCTCCCCCTGTAATGTTGGATTTTTCCATCTTTGCCATTCGAATAGCAATGACCAGTGCAGAGTTAATTCGAGGTTGGCTAGCCACTGTTGAAGGAATCTGATTGCGACAATTTGCACATGTGCGCTTTCCTTGCGCAACCCATTTCTGAAAACACTTCAGGCAGAAGTTGTGGCCACATGGTGTCTATAACAAGGAAAGAGAGTGTCATAAGCAAATGCCAAACAGCAATAGTTAAGAGTAGACTCAGCCTACTTTTACCAGCAGGCTATACACACACTAAGGAAAACCATTTTCAGTTATGAACTGGTTCATAACCATCCACTCTTTAGTGCCCTTTCCACCAGCATCCCATAGAGAAATTAGATGACAAGCAATTCAAAGAGCAGTAACTAAACAGGTTTCACTGCAAACTTGTACTTATATAGGCTTCGTTTGGTTGATACTTATACTTTTAGCCTTTTGCTTTTCTCAATATAAAGTAAGATGCAAAAAAAAAAAATGAACTCAAAACAAGAGACAAATAGCAAAAAGCAAAAACACAACCCAAAGGGAACCTAAACATATAATCCAATCTAGTAGGCTTGTCTCCCTTACCAATAGTATTAGGAAAAAGCATAATAATATAGTAATTTGGAGTTCATTTCCAAATAAATTGAAGGTGTAAGTGACAAGAAAAAGAGGGGAAGAAAAAGCTGAAATTATGCAGGTAACTTCTTGTTTTTGTTTTTGCATTCTAGCAAGAAAAACAAAATAATAAGCACTAAGCACCCATTAATCATTGTTCAACATTTCGATTCTTGTAATTGCGATTAAGAATAAGATAACAGAAAAACAGAGCAAGAAATTATGTTCAAACCGTACAGAGTTAAAGCTTGCTTTACTTTAACTACAACCACTAATTAAAATGTCAAAAGGCGAAAAAGCAAAACGAAATTAGTATCGTCATTATAGCTAAAAAGGATATGAGTGCAATCATTTTGTCAGAACCTTTTCTTAGCCTCCACTCGAAACTATCCTGTTTTGCTTGTGAACTGAACTGTTGTAAAAAAATGAGTCGTTTACCTTTTTTTTTTTTTATCATTAACTAGATTAACATAACAAGGGAAAATTATCAATGCATCAAATTTAGAATCAATGAGCATAAAGAAAATCTATTTGTTAAAAGATACTGAGCTTACCGTTACAGGCCTCTCCGGTAATTGCATGCAAATTGAACAGTTAATATTTCCATCAAGGATGGCAAGGACATCGTTATCGCCGTTGATTCCCTCCTTGTTTTTCACGTTTTCACCGTCGTCGTCCGACAATCGAGCTCCGCCACCGCTGACCAGCTCCTGCCTCCTCCTGGCTTTCTCCAACTCATTTAGCGAATCATCCGACTCGATTGCCCTTATCGCCACGACGAGTTTGTCGGAGCCTCCAATTTTCCCGGCGATCGAGGGAGGAAGAGGAAGATGAGGATGATCCGCGAGGGAGCAATCAGGGCAATCCCAAAGGAGGGCGTCGGCAAGGGTTTGGGGGCAAGAAGAGGAGGAGAGGCAAGTGACGTGCCATGGAGTGGCACATGTCCTGCACGTGAACGTATCGTCCGGCGACGGATTCTTCTTGCAGATCATGCAAGTGCCGTCTCCATTGCAAGGGAGCTGACTAACGTGCGCCATCAGAGAAAAAAGGGAAAATTGTAACAAATAAAGAAACGAAGATCGCGGTCCTTGTCCGATGAGGAGTGGACGACGGGGATGGTTTTCTTTTCTTGTTTCGAGCAAAAAGAGGGAGTGAAATCGGGTCAAAATGGGGATTTTCTTTAGAGAGGAGAGAAGGAGGCGCGGCTTTTTAATGAAATTTTTGTGGGGAATAATGTTTGAAATTTTCGATTTCCCTCTTCCCTTTTGCTCCTATATATGGCAATTTTTTTTTTGGCTATTTTTCAGCACGGTCTGCTCTCTTATTTACTACTCACTGTAATGTCAAATCTTTTTTATTTAGCATTATATGATTAGGTTTGTCGTATAAATTGATGAATAAAATAATATAATAACTATTTTATATTATATTTAATTTATATTTGATTTAAAAAGAATAATATTATAAAAAATTATTATTCTCTTGATATAAAATTATAAAATTTTTTTAAAATAAAGATAATTATTTTTAATTTATTAAATTAAATTTATATATCATATTATATATTTAAAAGTTACATTAATAATTTAAATTATATAAATTTTGAAAAAAATATAATTTTGATTAATAAATAAATTATTTTATCTTAATTTTTACATATATAAAAAATAAGATAAAATGATGTTATTTAATCTAATTTTATTCATAATATTATTTTATATTATTTTTTCATAATATTATATATTAAACATAATTTATATTTTTTTTAAAAAAAAGTATCACTATATTTTTTTTTATAGTGCATAATAATTTAAATGTTTATAAACTGAAGTTCATTGAACCCAATCGATTGACTTTTATAAACGTTATGTCTAAACCCAATTGGCTCCATCTAAATAAATATATTTAAATCCCATCAAAAATAATGTTTACGTGTTAAAATTTTACTTTATATTATCATTTTAATGTTTTAGATACATTTTGTAATTAAATAAAAATTATTTTTATATTTTGAATGAATTCAATAAAAATTTGAAAATTCATGTTTAAAGTTCAAACCATGAACAAGTATAATGACAAAGGGCCCATAACGTAGGGGTGAGCAAAAGTCGATTTGAACCGATTAGATCAATCGAAATCGAGTGAATTCAGTTGAATCAATTCAATTTATTTGGTTTTAATTATAATTGATTTTTTAAATCAATTAAATTGATTAATTCGGTCAATTTTTTATTTTTAAAATTGATAACCGAATAATCGGGTTTTTAATAAGTAAAAGTAAAAAAAATTTAGATAAATATATTTATTTTTTTTTCTTATAAAATATTGTTGAAAATTATTAAATTTTTTAGTCATTTAGTTTGATTGATACTTGAGTTTGAATTTTATTGAATTGAATTTATGGTTAAATAATTATTCATAATAGAAAAAAATGATAAAAGAATCAGTTATTTAACCAAATCGAACCGATTTTAGTCAGTTCAATTATGATCGATTATTTCATAATATTCGATCAATTCGGTTATTTATTAAATGAAAGTCCGTTAAGTCGATTATTGATTTTTTTAAGCCGAATCGAACAAATCGACCGATTACTCACCCTTACCATAACGTTTTCCTAGTTAAGATACCTACAAATGTTAATGGAAATTTTAACTTGGTTCTTTAAAATGAGAATATAAGTGTTTACTTTTATCATTAGATTAAATATCCATAAAAAATTTGTGTAATTTTAAGGCTCCACTTTGATGATTAAGTGATTATAATTTTTAGCTTAAATTGTAAAATTCAATCTTGAATTTTGATCAAATGGTGAATTTAGTCCTTTTATCATAATCTGTCAAAATTGGATTATGACATATCCATAAATGATTGAGTTTAGTTCGATTATTAACATATCAAACTTTAACTATTAATCCAAACTTGTTTTGTTGATTTTTGAAGTGTTATTGGCTTGCTGATATGACATTTATCAAAAATTTATTTGGTGAAAAACTATGGCATAACACTTTTTTCCACAAGGATTTTTTGGTCAATTTCCTCCCAAAAGCTTGCATGGCTTTTCTATTTACTCTAATTGATTTGCGATTTTATTTTCTCTCCAAAAAACTCTTAACTTTAACAAAGGAAAAAAAAACCTTAAACTACCCAAAAATAAAGTTGATTTTAAAAGAGTTTTGAAAAAATCCTTCAGGTAATTTGCTCAGATATCGATCGAATATCTATGAGGGTAAAAATTAAAAGAATCGATAGAGAATTTGAAGAATCATATCAAAATCAAATAAGAGTTTAAAAGAAATAGCAAAATTGTGTGACAAGAGTATATGAAAACACTTACAAGTGCAATATTGCATTCTTTATATATGTTTTTTTCCTTTGGATTTTTTTGTTTGAAAGCTATTGATGGTATTGTATTTGTTTCACTAATGGCAGTTGTACCAAGGTTATTAATATTGTACCAGATAATGCTTTGATTTTTTGAAAAAATATGATGTATCTTAGTACCAGTTGTTTTAGTATATTATTTTGGATTTTTTGGTTTAGTACAAATATATTTATAAACATGCATGAACTTGTACATTATAATATTATTAATAAGCCATAAAATAAATATGTAATATATTCAAATCAAATAAATAAGTTTAAAAACATAAGAAATAATATCATAAATTTTTTATATTATTTTTAAACATTTAATATGATCATATGATATTTAAATAAGTATTTTTTTCATATGAATATTAAAATAAAAACAAAGAGATGAAAAAAAATTAATCAAAACTTTATGATTTTTAAATTTTATAAAAGGAGTATAATTTTTTTTTTTTGAAAAAAACTAAAATACTTATAAACTTTGATTTGAAAAAATAATATATAAAATTATAAACTTTGGTTTGAAAAAATAAATTATAAAAAAAGTTAAAATAAACAATAAAAAAACTCAATTTTTAAAGATTGTTTTGTCAATTAATTTTATTTTTATTAGGTTAAAAATAATTAAATAACAAAAGATAAGTTAAAAATTACAAAATATATTTCACATTCATATACCAATTGAAACATGTTATTCTACCGAAATTCACTGAAATAGGCCGAAATTAACAAAAACAATCGGTATTGCCTGGTACTAAATTCGATATAAAAAATCATCTTTAGATGTATTGTATTTTGGTAGAATTATAACGTACCAACTAGTATGGTCGGTAACGAAATAAAATTAACAACTATGATTTGTATGATTCTTATGTATTTTCTTTGTGTCACTGAACCATTGTATTTGTTTAAGGTTTTCAATGGGATTTTTTTATGCATAAACATAATTGTTTTTATTTGTTAACTTAAATAAAGTGATAAATTTAGACCTTATTCCAATTGTAATCAATGAAACTTATTAGTATTAATATGTTTAAGTAAAAAAGTTGCTTTTTTTTTTTTATCTAAAGGATTATTTGATAATCTTGATTCATTTATTCATGATACTAAGTAAAAGTGTAATCTATCCAAGCCCAAAGTTTAAAACTCAGTTGAGTTCAATCAAATTCTATATTTTTAGGCTAAGCTCAACTTGAGATAAAAATCAAATTATTGGATATGGATTCATCTCATAGTTCATCAACAAAAAATAATCATAAGCCAAAAAATCATAATTTAAAATATGAAAAGCTATTAAACAATCTTTTGATGGGAAGATTAAAAACACTAATTAAATAAAAGAAAGAGAAATATTTGACCTTCCCAGAAATAATGAACTAACAAATTTTGGTTTTGTTATGCTTGCAACTTCTTCAAAAAGTGTGCATCGTTGGATTTGAAGCCATTTTTTGCCACATTAATCAAAGAAAACAATAAAATTTTAAAACCCCATGACTAATTAGAAGCTAAAAGGCCTTAACATTCAAAGCTGAGAAAGATATGAAATACCCAAAAATAAAGTCTGAAGCAACTTCTTATACTATGCAAAAGCATTCAAATATATGCTTGAAAAAGATAGAGAAAGAAATTTTTATGATGAAACAAATAAATGAGCCTTATTTTCTATCCATCACTAGAAAGAAAATTTTAGGATTGAAAATAAAGGGGTGGCGATTAAGGAGTGATTCAAATATCAAATAGATAAAGCACCAAAGCTGATATTTCTTAGGAATAACAATTATCTACTTTCTGAATAGAAAACATAGGGAGACCCGTTTTCCATCCATCACTAGAAAAAGATAAAATAAGATATAAGATCACATTATGGTAAGAAAGAGACAAAAGTCTTAGTTAGCAACCAATACTAGACAAAATGAACTTAGGCCAATGTAGGTTGAGAAAGTAGGGCTAGGATCAATAAAGAGAGAGGGGACGCCACTAGGATTAAGATTGGGATAGAAATAAAGCCAATGAGTTAAAGATTAGGTTTTTAGGTATATATTTTGAGGATAAAATTGTAAAGTATTAATAAAAATATGTATTAAAAATGAAAATTTTTTATTAAGTGCACAAGCCACTCGAGCAAAATATTAACAGGGTGCTAAGCCTAAAAAGTTAGGTAAGTTGGCTCCACTTAAATTTAAAATCCATTTATTATATATATATATATATATATAGAAATTTAGGGAAATATTAAAATTGACCTCACTAAAAAATAGATTTTGGGATCAATATATAATTTATAAAAGTAAAAAAATCAATAAAAATAAATAATTTTTTACTTTTGTTTTTCTTCTAAAGTAAAAGAATGTTAAAATCCATTGATTATTTATATCCAACTAAATAAAACCTATGTTGTCCTTTTTTTTTTCATGTGATGTTATGCAAAAAAGTTATTTAATTTTGATTTTTTTAATAATTTAAAATATAAAAAAAGGAAATAAAAGGCATAGAACTAAAAAGACTCTTTGTTGTCTCTTGATTGCAAAGTCACCGTCAACGTAAAAAATGAGAAAAACACACAAAAAAGTTAAAAGAGGATTTTAAGAGAGAATAGTATTAAAGATGAAATTATCCTTTATAGTAAGCGTAATATATTATTGTTATTTAATGAGTTTATGTACATTGTGCTTTTAATTTATGATGTAACTTTCTGTTTAATCCCCACTTATGATCTCCATAATTTTTTGGATTTTTGGGTTATTTAAAATTTGGACAAGAAATGAACTCAAATAATTTGATTTCTTTTTGCCAAAGGATCTTTAAATTTTATGTTTTAAAACATATATTTAATATTTCAATTTTTTTATAGTGCCCTTTATTTTTATGTTGTGGTTTTAACGTCCAAA